CTCCATGGACTCCTACACGCGTCTCTACTATCATATACATGTGATACTGCCGTCCTAGATAACTTAAAATTATGTAATATTATTGTCCTTTTTAATATCAAATGATTGTATATAATATATTATTGTATTCTCTCCTTGGTAATGCCAAAAGCGGGGCCAAGGTATGTACTTATCAGTACCTTAATAAAATAATTATGTATGTATGTATTATGTGTGCAGTTGTCTGTCGTGTGATCTCAATCACACGCTTCGCATTCAATAATTCCATTTCCGCACGAAGATAACTTAATTCTTTTCAACCATTTGGCTGGCAATAGAATAGAATATAATTGTTAGAATTAATAATATTTTTATAATTATGATAAAATTATATCTTTAAACAATATCAAAACTCATGATCTTTCTTACAATTATTAAACAGAATTCAAATTGTGTGACTAACTCTGAGGATCTCCATGTAAGACTTCTGCAATTGTTGACTGTGACAGAAGATTGAAAAGATTGTGAACTGTGACAGAAGATTGAAAAGATTGTGAACTGTGACAGAAGATTGTTGAAAAAATCTCTAATTTTTTCAACACTGTTTATTCACAATTCTCTTGGGCCATATATAAGCACATAAACATAGACTAAATACTACGCCAGTAGAATATCTTTTTGTACTTTTTATTATTGCCAAAGCTGAAACAATCTTACTCTTTATAATTTGAACTTTTATAAATGTGGCTTAAAGTATTTTCGTCTTTTAATTTGATAAAATGAAGTTATTTTATTATTAAAATTTTCATAAAACATTTTTTACTGTTTAGCATAATGTAATTTACTTTGTCGTCTTTTTTCCAAATTAGTGTTTAGTTTAGGTATCTATTTTATAGCAAAATATGTTTATATTCCATATCCTCGAAATACATTGTTTGTATATTCACAAAAATTTTATAAAATGTATTAATTGCAAACTTGCTTTAATTTTAAAGATCATGTAAAATCATTCAATACCTCATTAATAAATAAAATTGAAATTTTCAGGTTTTTTTTACATTTAATATGAAGGCCGATCACCAGTAGCTGAGAGGATAAAAATGCCAAAATTGGTAGTTGATTGAGAAGTTAAGACAATGCAATACAGCAAATCAGCCATAGAAGAGCTGATTTAATTAAAAGTGGAGATATTCTACTCGATATTGGGTCTTTATTAATGTATAAGGTTCAGTACACGAAGGAAAACTAGAAAATTTCACTTATCTATTATTAGCAAGGCGCAAACCAGTGACTACGAATGTTCGATGATTTATACTTAATCCATTCAGCTACAGGTGAGCTTTGTTCTTTATGGTATATTACTTTACATTACAGGTTCTGAAACTTATTTCGACCACCGCCAACTTTAAGTTTAAAAAAAGTCTAGTGTTTCCGTTTTTTTAACTTACTTTTTTACATTACCGTCTGTTGCGTATTTTAAAGACAGTTGTTGCAAATATGCTCACTAGAGGCAGAGTGGTCTTCGTACCCTTAACACAGGGAGTTCGGTCGTGGGTTCGCGCCGCGATCAAACAGGCTGGCTACTTGGAGTTTTCCGGGTTTTCTCCTTGCCGATAACGACTAAATAGGAGGCCAGTTCCCCATAAAAGTCCTACCGGAAAACATTCTTTCCCCTCGCGTAACATCGCGCATCATAGAAGGCAACGGGAAACCACTCTGGATAGTAACCTTCCTAGTAACACCTTGGCGTATTATTAACTACTTGCTACTCTGCGCCGGGTGTATCCGAGGTCAGGAAAACCTGATATGGCACTATGAGAAAGTATTGCAAATATAATGTTTAAACATGCATTATTATATGGATAGGATAGATAGGTTTTGACCCATATCCTATTTCTAAACATACGTGGAATGAAATATCAGTTTCATCTAACATTATTTCGAGAGGAATAGCATCTTTCTTACTGACTAAAATTGTACGTAAGAAGAGATTTTTATCGATTTCGTACACCTGCATTGCGCTTGACAATACTAAATGAAAATTTATTAAAATATATCTTAGAATACATGACATACGAAATGCATTTATTTCTGTATAAATTCGAATAAATTATTCTAAACCGTTACATGAAGAATTTCGAATGACGTATTTTAAAATTTCAAATTACTAAAATGCATAAAAAGACATCAGTTTTGGTCTTGTGATTCGAGTTCGATTTCTTTTGTTTTTTTTCTTAAATATAAATACGGATTAGCTATTGCTTGTGATCAAACAAAAATTCGTAATTTGAAAAAAATATTCCTAAACTATAATGCTAAATAATAAAATATAAATTTTTAACATTGCTAACAGGCGATACTATTTTATTCATTGTAACTTTATACTGAAATATATACATGCGTGATTTCCTTAAAACATATTACAGTAGAGCGTTGTTTATCCGAAAGCATTCCAGTCGGCATATTCAAATTTTTGCAAGTGCTGTAACGCTGCAATCTTTGGCTATATCTTGGGCTACTCCAATATTTTTTTTGTTGGTGTGTGTGTTTGAGCTGGCAGCACTGGTACTTTTTTGTGGTGTTTTTCTGAGAATTGTGTGTCGTGCTAAATCGAATGTTTTTGATACTAGATTAACTTCTAAAGTATATTTTTTTGGTTTTTATATTTTTCAATATATTTATTTTGTTTGTACAAAATAAAAAAATAATTTCTAACGATACAGTAGCCACGATTATTATTTTAAAAACTTTTCGTTGAGCTTAACATCGACGAAAATTCAACGCGAAGCGACACGCAACGGAGAAAAATTTCAACATGGGATCGGTTAACATATTTTTCGTACATAATCGGTTATCCGAAAAGTAAGTTATCCGAACAACCCCAGTCCCCAATTGATTCGGATAAACGACTCTCTACTGTATTACACAAATAACTTGAAATTTACCATTCATGATACGCAAAATTACATCTATTCATTTGTACTACAGTTTGTATCTACATATAAAGACTTTATGTGTTTTAAAGAAGTTTTTCAATACAAAAATGAATAAAAGTTACTGGAAATGCTGTTTTACAGTTAAGTTTTGATTTAAAAAAAGTTTTCTTTGTACAGCTGAATATTGGAAGAGAAAGATTTATAGAAAAACTGAAAACTCTTAAATCAAAATATCAATAATTTTACATCTCCTTCTATACTTTTCTAGCAGCGTTATAATGAAAAGCGAACGTTTCCGACCTCGCTTAGAGGTCTGCTTCAGGTTAGAAAACGTATATATTACAAAATTCAATAAACGATCCGAGTTCTAATGGCCAAAGTCGTACTCCTCACTTATTAAGTTATCCTCTAAAAATTGCCAAAATTTGTATAACGTCTCCTTTTCTTTGAGATTAATACATACACCCTTTCAAGAAATTTGGAAGATTTCAAACGCTTCCATTGATCTTAATTTGTTCCATCTATTCAAACGTTTCTATCTATTTAACTTCGTTCTCGAGATTAAGGTAAGACAGGCGGACGGACGACAATGGGAATTTATAGGTTTACAATTTTTTTCGAATTGCAGCGCAATTAATGAGTTATGGCCAAGTAATTCAAGACATAAACAAATAATTTGTTTATTTTATTTTAAATAACAGATAATATAAAATATTACAGACATTTAAAAATGTATAAAGAAATGTAAATAAATGCATAAATAATATATAAAACTGTATAAATGTAATTAATATAACGATATTTTTAAGCAAATTTAGTTGCCGGTTTATAAATCGTTGCTTTTTTTCATTCTTTAATGCATATTTTAATGCATATTTTATACATTCTTTAATGCATTCTTAAACATATTTTGGAATATTTTCTTGCATATTATGTGATTTATTCATGCATATAAATCCGACGTTCAATAATTATCAATATATAAAATGCCAAAAATGAGAGAAGAATCTCGTGGTAATTGATAATTTGTTGTTTATGTAATAGAAAATTGATAAAAGTGAATTATCCAAGAATGCTGTAATTAAAGCATGACTTCACAAAATACGAAATAATGCTTCAACTAAAGCATTCTTATGAACTTTCTCTCAAATGTAGCGGTGTTGTCACCATATATATGAAAGATTAATTAAAGCTTAACAACAACAGCGAAGGACGTTATTTATATAAGGTTACAAGGGGACTTCATTTTATATTAGGCCAATAAAATTTAAAAAAATCATAATAACAATAATTTTTATCAGATTATATTTCTGTTAATACAACTCACCATCTACTTATCCATATCAAACATTTCGTGAACTGTTTCGAGTTTCCAAATATTTTCATGGCTGATGTTCGTAGATACACAGTATGTCTTAGATTGTAGCCTTACATATCCACTTTAATAAACTTCAGATGGAATTTTTTCAATCCATGTTATTATTGTCAGCAGTTTCATTCCGAATGTATCTTGTTGCAAAAGTAATTCTTACGCTTTGTGGAATTCCTATACTGGAGAAATTCCTTTCTATTTTCTTCTATGAGAATAACTTTTGTGTTCCAATTTTAACCATGGCTTTCGTCTTTTCTCTTAATAAACGCAAAAAGCTTAATCCTGTAATTATACTAATAAAACCAGATAACTTGCCAATTGAAGAACTGAGCAGATTTTTTCACAAAACTCTTATCATAATGCTCACAACACTTTCTTTTTTCACTTGTGCATTAGCAGTTTTCATTATTAACATTATACTTCCAACATTGGATTCAAGCAACAATCATAATTCTATTCCTCTCTTCTGTAGTGTAACAATTGAAATTTTAGTAAATTTATTATTGGAGGATTGATTCATCTCTTATTCATTCTGATAATTTTATATTCGACTTTGAAAAAAGCATTTAAAAGAGTATCAAATGATTTAATTTTACTTGAAAAAAACAACTAGAATTTAAGTTTAAATTTAGAAGAAATAATGTTGCAACATGCCGAACTTTGGAACTTTGTCAATCAGATCAATACACATTTTAGTTTATTATTTCTAATATTGCATTCTGCAATTCTACTGGAAACTAGTCTCATGTATTATATACTTCTTTTCACTAATTCGAACTTAGTAATCAGATTAATCTATCTCCTGTTTGTCGTTTTACATTCAATCTTATGCATTTTAGTGGGTTACTCGTGTTCGACATTTACGTCTACGGTATTTCATCATACTTTTCAATTATGACGAGTTACTTATATTACATTTAATTATTTTTGATACTTTTAGATGCAGACTTCGTTTCAAGACATCCGAAGATTTTCTGAGTTCGATTTATCGCTCGAACAGAAACTAAAAGTGAGTAGGGTAGCATTTTATAATATATCGTACGTTCAAATAACCTTATTCATTACACTTAATTCTTACAGATCTTAAATTTCATGAAGAGATTTGGAAAAGAGTCATCATGTATATCAGTAAGAGCCTATTTTCATGTTGCGAAAAAATTTCCAGTAAAGGTAGGTCTAATTTATTTTCTAAATTGTTTATCTGCAGATTCTTTAATACATACTATTTTAATTTTATATACTAAAAATCATTTTTATAGATGGCCAACAAATTTTATTCTCTATTTTCTGGTCTTCTAAAACTTAAGACGTCGTCTACATCGTGAAAAATTTTCCATTCGGGTACACGTCTTTTAAGCTGCAAAAGAAATTTAAAGATTTGATTCCACTAATTTAAAACTTTACGAAAAATTATCTCGTGCTATACAATTCAACAACATTCAATAACAAGGAACAAAATTATACAATAGTACTTAAGTTTAAAAAACATATTTCACTTTGGAAAATATTTTCTATTCACGATTATTCAAAATATACATATTTTCAATCACTTGAATAATTTTTCTGTGGTAAAAATAAATAAATTCGACTTTTTAATGTTTCACAAGTTAGCTACGCTCGCCAGCCTTAACAGCTGAGTACTTTTCTGCTGAAACTCCTGTCTTATTTTGCTTCTGCGATAATACTATGGCTTATTTCTTTTATTATTATTACAATTTTTGTGTAAATACAGTATTAAATTTTTTTACAGCATACCAGCGTGCAATATATATTTTGTAAAATATTAATACTCTAAGCTTTCTTTAAAATTTTTTAGCATAATTCACTTCGTATCACGAATTTCACAACCCTGTAATGAACTAATAATGTATCATATATACTGTATAAACAGTATTGTAAAGACAATGGTTTGTATAATTTATTAAATAAAGCTTCCGTTTTATGTCAAATGTGAATATTATTCAAATTTTTATATGATTTAACCAATAAATTTAATTTGCCAGAAATATATATTGCAACTTTTTAAAATTATAAAGATAAATCATTACAATCTGCAATGTGACCATTTAAAATTAAACGTGTTAGAATTTCTTAATTGAACTTTCGGATCACTACGTGAATAACAGGTAATGATTACCAAGGTAATTTATCTTCGTTTCCATATTACTATTGTTCTTGAGAGAGCTTAAAATGTTTTGCATTAGAGTTTGAGACATTTAAAGAATACTTTCTCTTCTGTGATCTGTAAACGCATTAAACTTATAATAATGTTATTTTATAAATTTTTCAGGGAGCAACAGAGATAAAGTAAATAAAATCACCTTTCACTAGTAATATGTTGTAGTTTGGCGCTTGACTTCACACTGTTCGCGAGAAGATTTCCGTATATCTTCATGGGCCGATCACTTAAGTATCAGCTAGGACACCATAAAACATAACTAAACAGCACCTTATAATGTTCAATACGTCTAATGCATCAGAACATTAAATACTTTAGCACCATACTATCTGAGACTGTCCCAAAAATAATATCACGTCAATTTGCATGATGGTAAAAATGTTTCGTTGTCACTTTTGCAACAGTAGATAACGGTGTTCTATGCACTTTAGCGGGAGTGAAAAAATAAATCTCGAATGTTGTCGAAGAATCCGTTTGTATGTTAAGATGGAATATCAAGTTTTGTATGTTTATGAATCTGGGTTGGTTTCTATGCTTGAACACAAGAATTATTTACTTTACATCTTGGACACATTCTTATGAAACCGAGGTATCCAAAATGAAAAGGCTTCACAAAATATATATATATAATATATTATAATATATTACATTTAATATAAATTGATATGTATAAATGTGTGAATATCTGAATATTACCTTTATTTATTCTACAAAATGTATACAAAATCAACATAACATTTTGTACAATAAAGTGTACATTTTTCTAAATTCCAAGAGAAAGCAAGAAAATCCAACCTTCTTTTCCACTAGTTTACTTCCGTCAGAAAATTTATCATAGCCTCTGACTAATTTTCAACGTAAAGTCATTTAACAAAAGTTTATGTCTCTATTGAAAAATAATTTTGATATAAAAACGTCTTTTGCGCTTTTCTTCGGGCTCTCTCAGTCATTCCTGCCTTTACTTTCTGAAAGAGCTCCTTAGAAGAGTAACTTCTGTATAAAGAACAAAGAAACAAATTATCGCCTCAATTAAAACCTGGAACAACGAGTCGACTAAATTTTTCCAAGTCAAGATATTAATATTGAGGTATTATAATATGTATATTGTAAGTTTTCTCTTTCTCTCTTTAATATATAAGAATTTTAAATAATATTATTTAAATAATAGATAGAAATATGTTTTTACTTTTATTTGTATTGAATTTGGTTTGTTCAATTTGAAATTGCTCTCGTTTTGTATTATTTATATGCCGAATCCTATACCCAAAAATTTAATTTCTTAGACACGGAAACGAATTTATTATTGCGAGGTAAGACGCGAAAGTTTTATCTTAGCTGGTGTCAGGAAAAAGAATTAAAATACTCAATATCACCATTCTCAGAGAAAAACTTATACTAACTTATAGTCGTTAAACGTTCGATGATTAACTTTATCGAACCCGGCTCCTCACAAATGTTTAAAACATTGCTTCAAAATAATATATATAACTATATGAACAAGTAGGTTAATATAACTGTTTACTTTTTTTCGTACCCTAAATGTCTTTTCTAAGGAAAGACAATAGTGGATTTAATATTTCTATCAAAACAATAAGAGGTAGGTATTGTGTCGTTTGGAAAAATATATATTTAAAAACTTAAATATGTATCAAATTTCAATCATAGTATTATTACAGTACGGATTTACCGAATTTTAAGATAAGGTAACGAATAACATGGACATTTTATTTAAGAAAAGTGTCTAAAAAACGATGTTCTTAGGGATGCTTTTAATAACTCCATCAGGCCATCTTGTTCATAAGGTGCAAACTCTCGACCAAATTACATTGCTTTTATCTACTTGATAAATAACACTATAAAGTTCTGAACTATCTGTTTCAGCAAGAGTTTTTACTATATTATACTTCCAAAAAATTAGAGAATATTTTTTGTGTGTTTTCGTAACATCTTAAGTTACTGTTATATTCTGTTTTTATATCTGTACATGTATAAACACATTTTAAAAATTATACTTTAATATCTTAGGTTGACTCGTAAACACTGTCAATATAAACTCTGTTATAACACGTTGGTATAAAAAACTTTAATAATGTAAATATTTTTGTTTTAGTGTTAAATTTCTATATTTTTCTAGTGTTACTTGTATTTATACGTATTTTTTTATATATAATAATTGTAGAGAAGAAAATCTTACGTCATACACTTGACATTAATAACTAATTTTGACAAATCTATAAATAAATAATCTTCACTATAATAAAAGTAAGGCAAGTGTCTGCATTATAACTTCCACTGGCTTACTGTAAAAATAAATTTGAAAGCGGAATTTTAAAATCAAATACAAAAATAATAGCGACTTGTTTACCGATATTTTCGACAAAAAATGATTCAGGCAATAATAAACTGTAATGATTTATTTATACTCGTCTATAAAATACATTTAACGAACATAATAATTGCAAAGATACATTTTATTAACCACAAATTGCCAAGAAAAACTTTATACTAAAACTTTTGTAATAAAACATTCCTACAAAGGTTTTATTTATTATTTTTTTAATTCGTTTTTGTGAAATTAATTTTATAAATCTGTGAACAGTTTTGTACTTCATTCGAAATGCTTTTTAGCTTTTTGAAACCAGAAAAAACTGAATGCAACGTTTTTGCCATCTGAAAAAATAAATTTAACTCAATTTATTTCCAGTACAAACACAAAATTTGTAAATAATTACAAAACCGCAATTAATTAAGAAAATAATACAACCTTCAGGGGAATTCTCTTGTCAATAATCAAGAATCTACCAATTGTGAGACAGAGAGAGACTTTTCCGAATCTTTTCATAAAGTTCAAAATCTGAAATTATTGTCAACATTAAGAAAATATTTGTTTAAATATAATTTAAACTTCATACCTTTAGCTTTTGATTTTCTCCAATGTCACATACTGCAAATTGTCTGATATCTTGAAACGTATTTTCCATCTACAAAAAAAAGAAACTATAAACTATCTAAAGCATATGTCAATAGTGAATATAAAGTGCAATTACCGTAAATGCTAAAGAGCACAGCAGACAGCCAGCAATTATGCTAATGCAAGTGAATAGTATCATCAATAGGAATATCAACAATTTAAAGAAATAATGAACTGTTAAGAATAAAAAGGCATAGTATAAAAAACTTGTCACCCAAACGATTCCAAAGTAAACAAATCCAAATACTAAATTATATTTAGAATTAAACTGTTGCACGAAATCCCAAAGTTCTTCATGATGCATCATTAATTCGTTTAACTTGTCTTTTAAATCAAAATCGATTCTTTTTATTAACAGCAGCTCCATCGACAATTGCTCAAATTCCGTATGCGAGATCAGAGCTAACAATGCAGCTAACAGTAAGCTGTAACCGATTCCACCAATAAAAAAACCAGCATTTAAGGAGGTGAATGTACTACAGAAGAGAGCTTCCCCATTAAACTTCTGCTTCATTTCTATGTAAGGATAGGCAAATACAGTAACCGAAATTTGATACAAATCAATGGCTACTATTATAACAAAGGAAAAGAGCAGAGTAACATATTGTAATAAGATGTTATTTTCGTTAATCATTTTTACTCGAAAGAATTTATTTCTTAATGGCTTATTCAAATTGAATTTAATGCGTCTGATGAATTTCAATCCAATGCAATAAATGATATTTATAACAGAAAACACTATTTTAAATATCATGGAATTTCTTTCGTATACATCATACCAACCAATGCATATCGCATATTCATTGATTACAGGGATCATTTGCCATATGAGAAGAATTGTATGTCCTCGTAAAGTCAGTTCGATAAATCGAATATAGATATTCTTCAATTTGGTATTTTGAAATTCTCTGTCTTTTGTTGAGCATTTACAATTACAAGTTTCAAATGCGTCCAACCCAAATATAAGAGCCGTTTTCCAACAAGGGCTGATGAAACAGCTCAGACAAATCTCTTGTAAATTCGAACTCATGCCTATTCTGTATTGGTGTCTAGGTTATTCAGAACGAAATGAAACTGTTCTCAGAAATTCTGGTTACGTAAACTCATTATCTCGAAAAATTTTATAGTGCCATTAATAATAACAATAATGATGTATTTAATAAAAATATAATGAAATAGTAAACAAAATAAATTAAATAGCTATTTGCTATGAATTTCTTTTATGAACTTAATTAACGTTACATCAACAAACTATTGCAAACATAATTAGTTATAACAACACAAAAGCATATCTTAAGAATGTAAATTGATGTAAAAATACTTAATACTTTTACATCAGGGTAAGTAATTAAATTTACATTCTTAAAACTATTCGAAGCTTTTGATCAGAATTTTCAAAGAATCTGACATTTTAGTGATATTTTATTGCATCGATTGGTGTATTACATACTGCGTATTTTCTCCTTAATGTTTTTAAATTCTTTACTAATAGATAATTTGGAAGTCGAGTCAACCCATTACGAGCAATATGATTTTGTTATTGGAAATGATATGAACTTTAATCAAACGATAAAATTTTAGAAGTGTCATCCATATCAATATCTATATCTTTATCTATATATATAAAAATGAATGTATGTCTGTGTGTCTGTCTGTCCTTCATGCATTATCACACCGTTTATCCGATTGCCGTGAAACTTTGGGAAGTTGTTTAATATACTGCGGCGAAGGTTTGTGGCATAGTACGATTGCCATGACACTTTGGAAAGTTTTTTTAATTTTTCAATACACTCCCGCGAAGTACATTTATCCTACGATAGATGGCGGCGTTTACACGAGCATTCGCGCACAGTGTGTTCGATCGATTTCAAATTGTGAAGACCATTTCCTTCCTCCAAAAAATATCTCTATATATGCATTTGTTATTTACGATATTTGTAATAATGTTTGTTTAATCACATTATTTCAACTTTTTTTTGCTAATTATGTATTCGCTCAAGCTTCGTTAAAACCTCCGAACAACAACCGAAGTTGTAGGAAGAAATTCGCTTATTTTACTGATCTAGGTATCCTCCCTTTTTTAAATTTTAATATCAACTCAAAATAATTTAAAAAGACAAATTACAATAAAACGGTTTATTATCCAACTATCAGAAATTTCACAACATGCCAAGGAAGAGAGGAAGGACCAATTAAATAATTAAAATTATAAACGATTTAAAAATATATATAAAAATGGGGAATATCGCACTTCTGACAATCGCAGCGATTGTGTGGGCTAAATTTAGAGAATCCATGCTTCTCGCATGTACAACTGTATGTGGCCGACTCACGCGTCGGAAAATCTTTTGATTTATTTGTGTACGCACCAGACGGAAAAACAAAAAATATCGTGTATCCACAAACACTCCAATAAATAAATAGAATTGAAACAATACTTTGAAATGTTTTACCGATGAAAATGAATAATAATAATAAGTTTCAATAAAAATAATAAAATGTAAATTGAATTTTATCATAACGAGTTTGCTTAAATTTTCTTTCTTTTGAGATCGGAGCAATGTGCGACGGAAAAGCTAGTATATATATATAAAAATGGACATGTATGTCTCTATATTTCACTTTTCCGCTAAAACTACACATCGCACGTGAATGGTGTTTGTATGTGGTGGTAGCCCCAAGTCTCCATTCGTGCATAGGAGTGGTTGCGTCTCGATAGCTATAAGGGTGCGGGAGATATGAGGCTGAAAGTGGTTGAAAGTGGCTTTCTATTTCGAATGTTTTGTTCGAATTTGTTCGAATAATTCGAATTATATGTTTGAATTAAATTCGAACATAAAATTCGAATATTGGTTCGATTATAGAACGATTGTAAACGTTCCAGAAACGTTGAAAATATTACGTTTGACTAAACGTAAAAATTCTCTAATTAGTCTGGAAACGGGGGACCTAATTCTTGCATTCTGTGAAAATCGGTAAGATTAGCTATAATGTAATTATCTTAATCTTCACTATCGTTACTTTTTGCCCAGCGAAGCGGGTCCATGCAGCTAGTATATATATATATAAATGGACGTGTATGTCCCTATACTGTATTTCACTTTTTAGCAAAAACTACACATCGCACATGAATGGTGTTTGTATGTGGTAGTAGCCCCAAATCTCCATATCGAGACGCAACCATATGGTGGTTGTGTCTCGATAGCTATAAGGGTGCGGGAGATATGGAGTTGAAAGTGGTTAACTTCGAAGATGTGTAACAATTGGATTGTCAACAATAGAAATGTTAACAGTGGAAGTGTTAAAAGTGGAAGTGTTACAAATAAAACTGTTAAGAATGGAAATGTTAACAATGGAAGTGTTGAGTAACAAAGGAAGTGTTAATATAAAGCGGTATGCAAGATTTACAGGCGGGAAATCGAACATATTTTTAGATTTATGTAAAAATTCTCTAATTACTTTTGAAACGGGGGACCTAATTCTTGTATTTTGTGAAAACGAGTAAGATTGTCTATAATGTAATTATCATAATCTTTACTATCGTTACTTTTTGCCCACAAATAAAAACCAGCGAAGCGGGTCCTAGCAGCTAGTAGTATGTATTATGTAATCCGAAACAAATAATACATCATGTTTCTTATTACACCTTCCTTATAAAGTCTTTTTTTTTTTAATTAGCTTATTTAACACTTATTGTGTGAGATCCAGTTTGAGGTACAGAGTAGGTTGTTACGCCTGTATCACTTAAAAATGTATAAAGAAATGTAAATAAATGTATAAAAAATATATAAAATTGTATAAATGTAAATAATATGACGATATTTTTAAGCAAATTTAGTTGCCGGTTTATAAATCGCTGCTTTTTTCATTCTTTAATGCATATTTTAATACATTTTTTAATGCATTCTTAAACATATTTTGGAATATTTTCTTGCATATACGTGGTTTATTCATGCATATAAATCCGACGTTTAATAATTATCGATATATAAAATGCCAAGAATGAGAGAACAGCCTTGTGGTAATTGATAATTTGTTGTTTATGTAATAGAAAATTGATAAGAGTGAATTATCCAAGAATGCTGTAATTAAAGCATGACTTCACAAAATACGAAATAATGCTTCAACTAAAGCATTCTTATGAACTTTCTCTCAAATGTAGCGGTGTTGTCACCATATATATGAAAGATTAATTAAAGCTTAACAACAACAGCGAAGGACGTTATTTATATAAGGTTACAAGGGGACTTCATTTTATATTAGGCCAATAAAATTTAAAAAAATCATAATAACAATAATTTTTATCAGATTATATTTCTGTTAATACAACTCACCATCTACTTATCCATATCAAACATTTCGTGAACTGTTTCGAGTTTCCAAATATTTTCATGGCTGATGTTCGTAGATACACAGTATGTCTTAGATTGTAGCCTTACATATCCACTTTAATAAACTTCAGATGGAATTTTTTCAATCCATGTTATTATTGTCAGCAGTTTCATTCCGAATGTATCTTGTTGCAAAAGTAATTCTTACGCTTTGTGGAATTCCTATACTGGAGAAATTCCTTTCTATTTTCTTCTATGAAAATAACTTTTGTATTCCAATTTTAACCAGGGCTTTCGTCTTTTCTCTTAATAAACGCAAAAAGCTTAATCCTGTAATTATACTAATAAAACCAGATAACTTGCCAATTGAAGAACTGAGCAGATTTTTTCACAAAACTCTTATCATAATGCTCACAACACTTTCTTTTTTCACTTGTGCATTAGCAGTTTTCATTATTAACATTATACTTCCAGCATTGGATTCGAGCAACAATCATAATTCTATTCCTCTCTTCTGTAGTGTAACAATTGGAATTTTAGTAAATTTATTATTGTAGGATTGATTCGTCTCTTATTCATTCTGATAATTTTATATTCGACTTTGAAGAAAGCATTTAAAAGGGTATCAAATGATTTAATTTTACTTGAAAAAAACAACTAGAATTTAAGTTTAAATTTAGAAGAAATAATGTTGCAACATGCCGAGCTTTGGAACTTCGTCAATCAGATCAATACACATTTTAGTTTATTGTTTGTAATATTGTATTCTGCAATTTTATTGGAAATTAGTCTCATGTAATAGGCCTATATACTTGTTTTCACTAATTTGAACTCGGTAATCAGATTAATCTATCTCCTATTTGTCGTTTTAATTTCAATTTTATGCATTTAATGAAATACTCGTGTTCAACATTTATGTCTACGGTATTTCATCATATTTCTTTCAAATATTACAATGAGTTACTTATATTACTTTTAATTACTTTTCATATTTTTAGATGCAGACTTCAATTCAAGACATCCGAAGATTTTCTGAGTTTGATTTATCGCTCAAACAGAAACTAAAAGTTAGTTGGGTAGCATTTTATAATATCTCGAACTTTCAAATAAAATTATTAATTACACTTATTTCTTACAGATTTTAAATTGAATGAAGAGATTTGGAAAAGAGTCATTATATATATCAGTAAGAGGCTATTTTAACGTTACAAAAAATTTTTAGTGAAGGTAGGTCTAATTTATTTTTTAAATTGTTTATATGTAGATATTTTTAATATATACTATTTTCATTTTATATACTAAAAATAATTTTTATAGATGGCCAACGCATTATATTCTTCATTTTCTGGTCTTTTAAACCTCAGGTCGTCGTCTACATCGTGAAAATTTTTCCATTCGGGTACACGTCTTTTAAGCTGCAAAAGAAATTTAAAGATTTGATTCTATTAATTTAAAACTTTACGAAAAATTATCTCGTGTTATACAATTCAACAACATTCAATAAGAAGGAACAAAATTATACAATACTACTTAAGTTTAAAAAACATATTTCACTTTGAAAAATATTTTCTATTCACGATTATTCAAAATACACATATTTTCTATCACTTGAATGATTTTTCTGTGGTAAAAATAAATAAATTCGACTTTTTAATGTTTCACAAGTTAGCTACGCTCGCCAGCCTTAACAGCTGAGTACTCTTCTGCTGAAACTCCTGTCTTATTTTGCTTCTGCGATACTACTATGGCTTATTTCTTTTATTATTATTACAATTTTTGTGTAAATACACTATTAAAATTTTTTTTCACAGCATACCAGCATGCAATATATATTTTTTAAAATACTCTAAGCTTTCTTTAAAATTTTATAGCATAATTCACTTTGAAACCCTGTAATGAACTAATGATATATCATATATACTGTATAAACAGTATTGTAAAGACAATGGTTTGTATAATTTATTAAATGAAGCTTTCGTTTTATGTGATTTAAATGTTTATATGATTTAACCAATAAATTTAATTTGCCAGAAACATATATTGCAACTTTTTAAAATTATAAAGATAAATCATTACAATCCTCAATGTGACCATTTAAAATTAAACGTGTTAGAATTTCTTAATTGAACTTTCGGATCACTACGTGAATAACAGGTAATGATTACCAAGGTAATTTATCTTCGTTTCCATATTACGATGATTCTTGCGAGACCTTAAAACATTTTGCATTAGAGTTTGAAACATTTAAAAAAAAACTTTCTCCTCTGTAAACTCTAAACGCATTAAACTTATAATAATGTTATTTTATAAATTTTTCAGGGAGCAACAGAGATAAAGTAAATAAAATCACTTTTCACTAGTAATATGTTGCAGTTTGCGCGCTTGACTTCACACTGTTCGCGAGAAGATTTCCGTATATCTTCATGGGCCGATCACTTAAGTACCAGCTAGGACACCACAAAACATAACTAAACAGCACCTTATAATGTTTAATATGCCTAATACAACACTACATTAAATTCTTTAGCAACATACTATCTGAGACTGTGGCAAAAATCATATCATGTAAATTTACTTGATGGTAAAATTGTCGTAACTGACCAGTTATTTTTTATGTATTAATTTGGTTCGTTGGTATAGAGCAACGTGACACTTGGCGATCTGGTTGTAGGTTAATACATATAAGTAGCAATCTCAGCTAATATATACGCGAAGGCCAAATCGATAGCTGGTTAAGTTACTTTAAATTGAAAAACTTCACTAAAGCTCAGTGAAGATTTTTAATTTTTAGTTCGTTAAATTTGAATTTTATTTGATTTATTACGAATCGTGTACATTTTTTCTTTTTTGACATCCGTCATAACAGTTAAACACATTATTGTTAACTATAAATGAAACTAAAATTGATGTTAATATAAAATTTAGTAAGTTTTATTAAGTTTAAAAATTTATATTTCACGTACAATTTTAACTGTTAATAAAACATTCCTACAGAGGTTTTATTTATTTATTTTTTTATATTCGTTTCTGTAAAATTAATTCCATAAATCTGTGAACAGTTTTTTTCTTCTTTGGAAATGCTTTTTAGCTTTTTGAAACCAGAAAAAAACTGAATGCAATGTTTTTGCCATCTGNATATATATCGATTGCAATCTATGCACTATTCCGTGGTGAAATGTTTTACTAGTAGAACACCGGTTAATATCATAAGTTGCTTTGGCTAGTTATAGTCGTTTGAACAACAGTGTAACAGTTTCTTATTAAACACAAGAACACTGTTAAATGTTTCGTTGTCACTTTTGCAACAGTAGATAACGGTGTTCTATGCACTTTAGCGGGAGTGAAAAAATAAATCTCGAATGTTGTCGAAGAATCCGTTTGTAGATGGAATATCAAGTCCTGTATGCCTATGAATCTATGTTGGTTTCTATGCTTGAACACAAGAATTATTTACTTTACATCTTGGACACATTATTATGAAACCGAGGTATCCAAAATGAAAAGGCTTCACAGAATATATATATATATAATATATTATAATATATTACATTTAATATAAATTGATATGTATAGATGTGTGAATATCTGAATATTAACTTTATTTATTCTACAAAATTTATAAAAAAACAGCATAAAATTTTGTACAATGAAGTGTACATTTTTCTAAATTTCAAGAGAAAGCAAGAAAATCCAACCTTCTTTCCCACTAGTTTACTTCCTTCAGAAAATTTATCATAGCATCTGAATAATTTTCAACGTAAAGTCATTTGACAAAAGTTTATGTCTCTATTGAAAAATAATTTTGGTATAAAAACGTCTTTCGGGCTATTCTTCGGGCTCTCTCAGTCATTCCTGCCTGTACTTTCTGAAAAAGCTCCTTAGAAGAGAAACTTCTGTATAAAGAACAAAGGAACAAATTATCGCCTCAATTAAAACCTAGAACAACTTCTTCTTCTTCTTCTTCTTCAGCTTTTCCCACACTATGTAGGGTCGCTGTTTCTGATGAGTCGTCTCCACTGCTCCCTGTCCTGGGCTGCCTCCACATTCAGATGCTTTTCTCTCAAGTCCTCCTCCACAAGATCCATCCACCTATTCCGCGGCCGTCCCCACCGCCTCTTCCCCCTCACTCTCATCTGCATAACCCTTCTTCCCACATACCCTTCTTCCCTCCGTACCACATGACCAAACCACCTCAACCTCGCTTCCTGTATCTTTGCTTCTATGTTCACAACTTTCACTGTCTCCCTCACACATTCATTTCGAATGTGATCCCGTCTCGTAACCCCACACATCCAACGGAGCATCCTCATCTCCGCCACCTCCATCCTTTTGACATGGGTTTTCCTCAAGCTCACAGTCTCAATAGCGTACAGCATCGCTGTACGATAAACTTTCCCTTTCAACCTGAGTGGCACCCTCTTATCACACAACACTCCTGACATATCCCTCCAATTCCGCCAACCAGCCTGAATTCTGCCTATCACCTCCTTATCCACACTTCCATCCTCAGCCATAGTTGACCCCAGGTACTTAAAGGTATTGACTCTTCGGAATACGTCACCCCTCAACTCCAGATCACTCTCCCGGGCACCATCCTCCTCCCCACTACACATATACTCTGTTTTACTCCTGCTCACCCTCATGCCCCTCCCTTCCAACACACCCAACCACCTTTCCAATTTAACCCCCAGCTCCTCTTTTGTTTCGGCGCACAGAACGATATCATCTGCATACAACATGGTCCAAGGTGCCTCTTCTCTGACCTCGTCCGTGATCACCTCCATCAGTATGTTAAACAAAAAGGGGCTCAATGCTGACCCTTGATGTAAACCAACTCTCACCCTGAAGCACCGAGACACTCCTACACAGCTCCTAACCTTTGTGGCCACATCCCTATACAGTTCATGGATCAATCTAACATACTTTTCAGGAACCATCTTTTCCCTTAGACACCTCCAGAGTTCTTGTCTAGGCACCGTGTCATAAGCTTTCTCCAGGTCAATGAATGCCATATGCAGCTGTTGTTGCTTCTCCCAGTATTTTTCCAACATTTGCCGAAGGGCAAAAATGGCATCTACTGTTGATCGTCCTGGCATGAATCCAAACTGCTCTCCTGAAATGGTCACCTCTTCTCTCAACCTTCCTTCCAAAACCCTTTCCAAAATCTTCATCGTGTGAGACATCAACTTTATTCCTCTGTAATTTTTACAATCTTGAACATCCCCTTTTCCTTTGTAGATAGGTACAAGTATACTNCTCAGCTCCTCTTTTGTTTCGGCGCACAGAACGATATCATCTGCATACAACATGGTCCAAGGTGCCTCTTCTCTGACCTCGTCCGTGATCACCTCCATCAGTATGTTAAACAAAAAGGGGCTCAGTGCTGACCCTTGATGTAAACCAACTCTCACCCTGAAGCACTGGGACACTCCTACACAGCTCCTAACCTTTGTGGCCACATCCCTATACAGTTCATGGATCAATCTAACATACTTTTCAGGAACCATCTTTTCCCTTAGACACCTCCAGAGTTCTAGTCTAGGCACCGTGTCATAAGCTTTTTCCAGGTCAATGAATGCCATATGCAGCTGTTGTTGCTTCTCCCCGTATTTTTCCAACATTTGCCGAAGGAAAAAATGGCATCTACTGTTGATCGTCCTGGCATGAATCCAAACTGCTCTCCTGAAATGGTCACCTCTTCTCTCAACCTTCCTTCCAAAACCCTTTCCAAAATCTTCATCGTGTGAGACATCAACTTTATTCCTCTGTAATTTTTACAATCTTGAACATCCCCTTTTCCTTTGTAGATAGGTACAAGTATACTTTCTCTCCATTCGTTAGGTATTTCCTCCTGCTCAAAGACTTTTTTGAATAGGTCAAATAACAGATCAATACCCTTCTTCCCCAATGACTTCCATACCTCTACAGGGATTCCATCCGGGCCCTCCGCTTTACCGTTCTTCATCCTCTTTAGGGCCCTTTCTACTTCTTCTCTAGTGACCAACTGTACCATGCCCATGTTTCGGTTTCCCTCCTCTCTGTTCATTCTTTCATTCTCTGTATTCAAAAGTCCTTCAAAGTATGCCCTCCATCCTTCTCTTATATCGTTCGCCCCCCGTAGGACCATCCCCGTCGTGTCCTTGATCTGCCTTACATGCGAAATATCCTTCGTTGCCCTATTCCTGAGTTTGGCTAAACGATATATTTTCTTCTGTCCTTCCCTTGTATCCAACTCCTCGTATAAGTTCGCATATGCTCCTGCCTTTGCCTGTGCCACCACTCTCTTAGCTTCACGCTTTGCCGCTTTATACACTAATCTATCTTCCTCTGTACGTGACCTGTCCCACTTCCGTTTTGCCTCCTTTTTGCCTTAACAGCTTGTTGTACACTTTCACTCCACCACCAACCTTCCTTTTGCACCCTAATCTTTCCAGATGTTGCACCAAGCACCTCCTCTGCACAGTTC